ACGAGCTTTTATAGACGACTGGAAAAAAAACATAAACGGGAGCTGTGTAAGACAGCTAAAAGAATTTTTACGCAAGCTTTAATAGACGGTCAGAAGAAAAATAAACCCGTGAGGTCTAAAAAAATTGAAATAATTTAAACGCTAGTTTAAGTGACGACTAGAAAAATACATACGCGTGCTGTTTAAGATAACATAAATTCTTATACGCAATCTTTTACAGATATCTCGAAGAAAGAAAAACGCGTCCTTAAAAAACTTATGGAAGTTAAAAACCTAACAAAGCGGTTATAAGAAGTTATACGCATGTTGGCAAAGTTTACTGGACAGGCGTTATTCGCCAGGTATAAAATACGACTTAAGAATAAAAAGATGACCACGTGCGTTTTAACAATTGGAAAAAAATGCATTGGAAAGAAAAGTCTGCATAAAAAAACGGCTGGAAGAAAGATAGACACTGTTAACGACTCGAGAAAAGCTTGATGCGTTCTGTTATAGAGTACAGTCAATACTTAAAGAAACATTTAATAATAAAATGCCTTAAATGTTCTAGTGTAATCATACATTTATTATCAAGTTTTATTTGCAACAACCATTACATCTTGATGAACTTTTATTTCTAAATCGCTCAAACCTTCAAATATGAAACATGTGGCAGATGTTCCGTAGCACCAGAACTTTGTGTAGTCATTGTCAGCACCGTTAACAAGCCGAGTGAGATTCGAGCCGGTACAGCCGTGCAATCAAGCCAGAAACTCACCCAGGATAATATGACAATAAGTATACTAGGCAGATATATTTGTAGAATGAAGTACTCGTAGTTCCGTTCAAAAACAAATGTTACACCAATACACGGATATATGACTGAAAATATCATCAAACATATATTGTGATTTAAAACTATTATTGACATATATACATTTTAAACAATTTGCTCAAAACCGAAACGACTTAAACTACAAAGAAGACAAGTTAAATTGAAAAATAATAAGAAAATCGAAAGATAGATGTCCATTACAGTATTATCTTTAAATATTGATACTTTAAAAGGAAAACTTTGGATTATTCTAAATTAAATAAAAGGAAACTAGTAAATGCATGGCTGTATAAAAACATTACTAAAGGTTAAACTTATAACATTTTTATGGTTACAGTTTAACAGTTTTAAATCATTTTGCGACTAAAAAGATTACTAAAAAAACAACAACAAACACAAAACAATCAAGTAAGATGTAAGTAAAGGGATGTAACTTAAATTACTTCCGAAGTAATCTTTGTCACAGTTATATGAAGTTATACTCTTTATCATAACATTCGGCAGGACAATGTCGTCTGCTACAGTTACCGCATGTACGTCCCAAGTCAATATAAGGTTCTTAGAACTGTGACCATCTGAAATTAATACAGAAGTTTAAAAGCAAACTGTTGCTGTAATCATTACAGCAAGTTAAGTATCAAACGGTTGCTGTACTCATTACAGCAAGCTAAGTATCAAACGGTTGCTGTACTCATTACAGCAAGTTAAGTATCAAACTGTTGCTGTACTCATTACAGCAAGCTAAGTATGAAACGGTTGCTGTACTCATTACAGCAAGTTAAGTATCAAACTGTTGCTGTACTCATTACAGCAAGTTAAGTATCAAACGGTTGCTGTACTCATTACAGCAAGTTAAGTATCAAACGGTTGCTGTACTCATTACAGCAAGTTAAGTATCAAACGGTTGCTGTACTCATTACAGCAAGTTAAGTATCAAACGGTTGCTGTACTCATTACAGCAGGTAAAGTATCAAACGGTTGCTGTACTCATTACAGCAAGCTAAGTATGAAACGGTTGCTGTACTCATTACAGCAAGTTAAGTATCAAAACGGTTGCTGTACTCATTACAGCAAGTTAAGTATGAAACGGTTGCTGTACTCATTACAGCAGGTTAAGTATCAAACTGTTGCTGTACTCATTTCAGCAAGCTAAGTATGAAACGGTTGCTGTACTCATTACAGCAAGCTAAGTATCAAACGGTTGCTGTACTCATTACAGCAAGTTAAGTATGAAACTGTTGCTGTACTCATTACAGCAAGTTAAGTATCAAACGGTTGCTGTACTCATTTCAGCAAGCTAAGTATGAAACGGTTGCTGTACTCATTACAGCAAGCTAAGTATCAAACGGTTGCTGTACTCATTACAACAAGCTAAGTATCAAACTGTTGCTGTACTCGTTACAGCAAGCTAAGTATCAAGCGGTTGCTGTACAAATTACATCAAGCTAAGTATCAAGCGGTTGCTGCAAGCTAAGTATCAAAATGTTGCTGTACTCATTACATCAAGCTAAGTATGAAACGGTTGCTGTACTCAATTCAGCAAGCTAAGTATCAAACTGTTGCTGTACTCAATACAGCAAGCTAAGTATCAAACTGTTGCTGTACAAATTACAGCAAGCTAAGTATCAAACTGTTGCTGTACAAATTACAGCAAGCTAAGTATGAAACGGTTGCTGTACTCATTACAGCAAGCTAAGTATCAAACTGTTGTTGTACTCATTACAGCAAGCTAAGTATGAAACGGTTGCTGTACTCATTACAGCAAGCTAAGTATCAAGCGGTTGCTGAACTCATTACAGCAAGCTAAGTATCAAACTGCTGCTGTACAAATTACAGCAAGCTAAGTATGAAACGGTTGCTGTACTAATTACAGCAAGTTAAGTATCAAACTGTTGTTGTACTCATTACAGCAAGCTAAGTATGAGACGGTTGCTGTACTCATTACAGCAAGCTAAGTATCAAGCGGTTGCTGTACAAATAACATCAAGCTAAGTATCAAGCGGTTGCTGTACTCATTACAGCAAGCTAAATATCAAACTGTTGTTGTACTCATTACAGCAAGTTAAGTATCAAACGGTTGCTGTACTCATTACAGCAAGCTAAGTATGAAACGGTTGCTGTACTCATTACAGCAAGCTAAGTATCAAACGGTTGATAGACTCATTACAGCAAGCTAAGTATGAAACGGTTGCTGTACTCATTACAGCAAGCTAAGTATCAAACTGTTGCTGTACTCATTACAGCAAGCTAAGTATGAAACGGTTGCTGTACTCAATACCGCAAGTTAAGTATCAAACGGTTGCTGTACAAATTACAGCAAGTTAAGTATGAAACGGTTGCTGTACTCATTACAGCAAGCTAAGTATCAAAATGTTGCTGTACTCATTACAGCAAGCTAAGTATCAAACGGTTGATGTACTCATTACATCAAGCTAAGTATCAAACTGTTGTTGTACTCATTACAGCAAGCAAAGTATGAAACGGTTGCTGTACTCATTACATCAAGCTAAATATCAAGCGGTTGCTGTACTCATTACAGCAAGCAAAGTATCAAACGGTTGCTGTACTCATTACAGCAAGTTAAGTATGAAACGGTTGCTGTACAAATTACATCAAGCTAAGTATCAATCGGTTGCTGCAAGCTAAGTATGAAACGGTTGATGTACTCATTACAGCAAGCTAAGTATCAAACGGTTGCTGTACTCATTACAGCAAGCTAAGCTGTACTCATTACAGTAAGCTAAGTATGAAACGGTTGCTGTACTCATTACAGCAAGCTAAGTATCAAACGGTTGTTGTACTCATTACAGCAAGTTAAGTATGAAACGGTTGCTGTACAAATTACATCAAGCTAAGTATCAAGCGGTTGCTGCAAGCTAAGTATCAAACGGTTGATGTACTCATTACAGCAAGCTAAGTATGAAACGGTTGCTGTACTCATTACAGCAAGCTAAGTATCAAACGGTTGCTGTACTCATTACAGCAAGCTAAGCTGTACATATTACAGCAAGTTAAGTATGAAACGGTTGATGTACTCATTACAGCACGCTAAGTATCAAACGGTTGCTGTACTCATTACAGCAAGCTAAGCTGTACTCATTACAGCAAGCTAAGTATCAAACGGTTGCTGTACTCATTACAGCAAGCTAAGTATCAAACGGTTGCTGTACTCATTACAGCAAGCTAAGTATCAAACTGTTGCTGTACTCATTACAGCAAGTTAAGTATCAAACGGTTGCTGTACTCATTTCAGCAAGCTAAGTATCAAACGGTTGCTGTACTCATTACAGCAAGCTAAGTATCAAACGGTTGCTGTACTCATGACAGCAAGCTTAGTATGAAACGGTTGCTGTACTCATTACAGCAAGCTAAGTATCAAACTGTTGCTGTACAAATTACAGCAAGTTAAGTATGAAACGGTTGCTGTACTCATTACAGCAAGCTAAGTATCAAAATGACAAAGATGACTGACATGCTTCAAACATTTTTATACCAAAAAAAGTTAAATTTCATTTCATTTGTGAAACATATTTTTTTTATTTTGTAATTCGTCACGCACATGTTTATGTGAATCTATTATGACACGTTGTTGTGAGTTGTGCATCTATATATTATTACTTTATATAAATGAAAGATCATGTGTAAACAATGACGTCATGTAAAATGTGTTCTGTTTCAACTGCCTCGTCGTAATTTAAGATAATTTTAAAACTGGATAGAATATCTTAAAGTATCATTATGCCAATCCAAATGTATAAAATATGAGTGCACAGGTAAAGTAAAACTATCATAATTGTGTTTTATTTTATTTCATACAATAATAACTAATAATACACGTGATTCACGGATACTTATACAATATCGTTTTTAATTTGTAGCATTCAATTTTTAAAAAGTGTCATGAGTGGGTTAATCTTTTTATAATCTAGGTCCTTTTTATATTTCATTCTACACATTTATTATTATCAATTATTGATCAATCACCATTTAATAGTCAATCTGTTGAAATTAAATTTTAATGGAAGAGTCTTAGTCCTATTACTGATTGAACAACCCTCGTATACTAATTCAGCTCAACTTGACAACAAAATGTAATTTTTTTAAATGCTAATAGGTTCTAAAATATTTGGAAAGGATATTCAAAATTATTGTATTATATCTTAAAACACATCAGAAAACACGTAGAAAATATTAATCTGTCATTCGTTTTAAACGAAATCAGTTGTTTATGGAAAGCAGTCACCACTAAATAAACTATTCAATTATACAGCAAAGTTACAATGAAAGCTGTATAAAAAGAGAATAATTTGTGCAAATGAGACTTTGCTTAAACATAAAATGTAATGAATCACGAGATGTATAGCATTATCAGTAAAGTATTTGCATATTTTACGTTTATGATGCAACTGCAAATAATCAATTTGCAAAATCCTTTTAGAATATGAAAGTTTGTTGATTAATTACTTCTTTACATAGAGGATAACCGAGAAATCGTTATATAGAAGTTGAACTTACAGCTTTCAACATCTAAGCGACATGATTGTGAGTCGAATGGGTATTTATGAAGGTACATCCCACAAGAAAATATACCAGTCACCCTTGAAGCAAATGAATAAAATATCATAATAATAATTATAATAATGATAATAATAAGTTGAATTATACATGTAAATAACCAGTTAATGGAATTAGATGTACATTTTAGAAATATTACCAGCTGTAATAGTAAATATTTGTGAAATATTTTATCAGAAATAACAATTTTGTCCCCATGAGAAATTAACTCGCAAACTGATTTTAGACATCAAAGTCGTTGAAATGAAATATATATAAATGGAATAAAACGTAGTGTTTAAGAATTTATGTATTGCATATTTGTCATGTTTTCAATTTTTTTATTTCCAACGGTTGGCTACTCGTTTTCAGTTGAATACTTTTTGTTATATTCGAGACTTAGATCTGATGGCTAGAGGATGTCATATTTGCATCTATTTGCTATTTCTGACTAAATACTTCATTGATTACTTGTTTGTGAATATTTCGATCATAAAAAAACCTTTTCATATTTTCTTATCGTTTTTTTTTCTAAAGCGCCTTTTGTTATTTAGTTAAAATTGTGACGTATTATCACTTCTATAACTTGATCTGATAAACGTGTCCCTTACAAAAAGAGATTAAAGAGTAAAAGTCATTTGTTCACTAATATATAATGAGAGCGAGACTACCTGGCACTGAATTGTACTGTTCCATTCGGGTATATATGTACCATCTTGTTTGGCACAGTAACTTCATGATAATCCGACTCTTTTTCATTTACAATATATACATCAGGCATCCATATATCATCAAACATTGACGTATCCAACTCGAGTCTCGTCAAGTTAACACTGTCAGTATATGATAATCTGTCGTCTGTCCAACGTTCTCGTATAAATACACTCATTGCATAGTCCTATAAAAATTATATAACATATTACAAAATATACATGCGTGCAATATAAACTGCTACTCGTAAGTTAAACATCCTGCAAAATGAATTTGTATGATAGAATAATAAAAACAGTTGCAAATAAATTTTATAATCACAGATTAAACAACGCATGTAGAATAAGCACATATCATCTTACCAAAAAAGTGAGATTTTATATAAAAAACTAAAATCTTACTAAACATGCCAGTTTTGATTTTTAGTAAAAGTTAAATGATTTATTAAAACATCGTCATACTTACCATATTCGCTTCTCGTATAGAAAATATGGAATTGACAAATAGTTGAACCACAACATTCACTTGGTTATCATTTCCTGCTCAAATATATATATATACATGTATATACTTTTGTAGTCGAGTCCATTTTAAATATTTATAAGGACTATAACAAAAAATGGCGTTACAGTATTCTATCGTCACACTATACAAAATATTGTATGAATACATGGTATTATGATTAAGAAATAATATATCCCAAACTGTGATTTTATCGCTCAATAACATCACTGTTTGGAGTTCGGATGCGAGGAATTATATCACGAGGGCGTAGCCCGAGTGATATAATGATGCGCATCCGAATGACAAACAGTGATGTTATCAAGCGATAAAATCACCGATTTGGATATATTATTTCGATTTCTAACACGACATAAACAAATAAATGCTGTCGTACCTGCTATTAAGCAAAAATTGCGCCTGATTTGTTTCCGTACTTATTGTCAGCGGCGTCAGATTTTATAGTGTTAGTCACATGTATAATGATTACGTCACATGTCTAAATATAGAACGTCAAACAGTGACTCTATTGCATAATAACACACACTTTTGGTTCTTCTATGTTCAATAGGGAAAAATGCAGGTCGTGTTAGAATTAACATTTTACAATTGAAGACTTTGTATAAACGTTTAGTTTAATAAAACAATTGTTATATTTTACCAATTTCAAACTTTGGCGGAATTCTTTTGTCATATCCTTTAAAGATATCCTCCAATAATGTTGCCCTGAAATTTTATATAATTATTATTGAAAAATATAATATGATAAGTAAAGCATTCACAATTTTATGTATTTATATATACGATATATTTTTATTAACAAAAGTACGGCTATAATTCTATATCTTAACATGTACTAATAACATATCTACATTTTTCGGAATAGAAAATAAAGTAAATGAAGGAAATAAGGACCTATATAGACAGTAGAGCCGTGTAACGGTTCCCTGGTTCCATTAGAAGTCAGGTTCCATATTGTTTCTATCATGTTATCAAGAGTCAAATATCGTATATAGCTCTGATTCAGTTTACATTTTCTTTGTAGCCATCAGAAATTGGAGGACGTGTGAGAATATGACGATATGGAACTGTTTCATCTTAAGATGATATCATTATACCTTAGAGGCATCAGGTAAATAAGTCAATCAAATTTCGTTTTACTGACATCTGATTTACGATATATATAAATTTGCGAACTTACATTGTTTCGCTGATATTGTTACGATATTTATGACTGTTTGTAGATCTAACTGGTAGTTGTAAAAAATGTATCACATACATCAATGATATCATTTTAGTAACAATCATTGTAGTTCTTCAAATGAAATCTCTTTGTCACAAAATCTATGCTCAAACTGGGTAGTTCTTTAATTCGGTTTCTGTATGACGGTTTCAGATATCATGTAAATAAAGAAAACATACTTGTATTTATTTGCAATAAAAGTATAGCCAAAACTTTAAAATAATATAAAATGCTGAATGATGATTGACATAATCATTTAGTACTTACCGGCTAAAATATATTTTCTTACATTAGTCATTATTATCCATGAGCCATTTATAAAATTATTTATTTAAAACTTATCATCAACTTCAACTTTGTACTAATCTTAATACGGCATGTATTTGATAAATATAATGTAGCTAAAATAATGTAAACTAATCCGAATTTACAGGGTAATTATTTAAGTTTAATAAGATCCTTTAGAATGCAACATTTGTCGAAATAATACTGAAGAACTCCTTCGTATAACCAAATAATAACATATAACATCAAAATTAAAATAGTCAATATTATATTAATGCAACTGGAACAAACAGGCGTAATATCAAATCACTATATTATGATTACAAGCAAGCAGTATCTTTGTTTAATATCTGACTCTGTATTGAAACACATTCTGTTGTTTTGTTGTTTTTATTCCCGGGTGCTTTTATACTTATTGTGAACTCGTATAAATATTTATTTCAGAGATCATGTGATATTTCTACTGGTTTTTACAGTAATGGAATGGATAAAATAAACACAAATCAATACAACTAAGTGCAGTTATACATTTAGTTGTATTCAGGATATAATGTATAGAATTCCAAGATAGTTGATGTTGGGTGGCAATAAAACCATAATGGGCCTTAAAACAATTCAAGAATAATTGGTGTGCGTGGAATACATGTAGGAAGGGGTGTTTCATAATTAATGCAAATCACCTGATAAGATTTTGTCTCGACAGCTTTCATTTATTTCTCAAAAAGTTCTCTCATTTGGCGTGTACACACAATTGTTCCTATATCAAAACCATTGTAAAAGTACTGTTTCATGTTCATCAAATAACATACCCTAAAGATATTGGGCTCATCAAGTCGACTGCTTTACGAGAGCAATAATATCTAAAGACCAACAAGGGATTTATGGAGATAGTAATAAGTCACACGGTTGGACATCTTCAGACATTTGATCTAATGTGCTTACTAACAGTCTGAAATAATAAGTCTTGTCCTGTACGAGAAAGCATTGTCATTGAAATAGGAACTATTCGCATCCTTTTTTCCAGACACCAACACCTTTCACGACAACTTGTGTTCAACTATTAAAACAAAAAAAGGCATTTCTTCCAGCCGGAACAATAAATTTGAAAGCAGGATAATGTTCAGAATATAGTTTCAGTTTGAAGCCTTAGAATTTGTCACATTTGAAAAAAAATCAGTCTCCAAGAAAGTTGAGTTGCACGACCTAAATATAACCTTTGCAAACCTGTTCAAAGTAATGCACATATGTTTTACAGAACCGCGTTTTCCCCGGTACGAATACACACAGATGTTTTACAGAACCGCGTTATCCCCGGTACGAATACACACAGATGTTTTACAGAACCGCGTATCCCCGGTACGAATACACACAGATGTTTTACAGAACCGCGTTATCCCCGGTACGAATACACACAGATGTTTTACAGAACCGCGTTATCCCCGGTACGAATACACACAGATGTTTTACAGAACCGCGTATCCCCGGTACGAATACACACAGATGTTTTACAGAACCGCGTTATCCCCGTTACGAATACAATAACTGAGCCACAACTTTATATGGTTTTTGAATTATAAATGTGGTACATATATATAGTGACAACAAATCCTATTTGCTTTCAATTCAATTTTCAAAATGAAGTCAAACGGTGCCGATGATAATTATGTTAAAAAAAAACAAGCTAGCTAACGTAATGTTAATTGCGCATATTCTCCAATTAATTCCTTGATTCTATGCATGTGTTATTTAAAACCCCAGTCACACTAGAGCTTACGATTACTTGCGACCACCGACGACTTGTAAAACTGACGATCATCAGCGATTGTCTGCGACCAAAACCCTTTTTGCACAGATAAATTTACTTCTGCGACTATCGTAAGACCAGTCATCATTGACAATGCACACGACAGGTCATTAGCAAAACGTACGATGGTCTCAAGATTGTGTGGGATTATTACAACTACCGTGACCTGTTATCGATCACCTACAAACTAGTCGTAACGACATCACAAACGATTACTAAAAAACTTACTCAAGATTACCAGTGACCTGTGGCAAAATTTTGTAAAGACTGTCGTAAGATTTGTCGCAACAACTTCTGAACGACCATGTGCGACAAGAGCCTAAGACCTTAATAAGATACAGCGAACCTTTTGATCGCAAGGAGGTTTTTGTGAAGCTCAAAACCTCTCTACGACTGAAATTGGTCCTGGGACCTAAATAAGATAACCTGCGACTGTCAAAGATCACCGATGACCGTCGTAAGACGTTTTAAAGATTGTCCGCGACCAGAGGTTACTGGTGATCGTGAACTGGTCTTCACTGGTCGTAAGCTCTAATGTGACTGGGGCTTTAGGGATACCAATTACGACGACCATTTTTTGGGAGTTCTTCGATCTGATGACTACCAGAGTTAAACAAAATATCAATGTAGTAACCGTGCTGTATGACATACATGATATTTCATTAGGACTTAGATATCATTTATTTCACAGTTTCACATTATAAGAGTTTTAATCAAAAGCTAATTTCAATATTTCTATGAATACGCATTCCTGGTAATATATTGTGTATGTATAAAACTATTTCAAAATGCTGTAACACATGTTTTCTTTGAAACATTATGTATTTGTAGATTTAATATTGATTTTGATTTGAAAACTGTTTTTTTTGCGTTTACACTACAATTTCTTTGGATATTTTAGTAAAATTGCATCAATCTTAAAACATCCAAACAATTTTAAAACGTAAATGCGCTTTGTATTGATAAAAAATGAATTAAATTGTCAACGAAAGTGATAATTCTTATAAAAGTTCAAATAATCAGTTTTAGAGATAAGCATTCATGAAAATTTAAAGGCAAAAAAACAAACAAACAAAAAACTTATGATTTATAGTTTTATGATATACAAGTCTATGGAGTAAAGAGCATGGATATATTCATGTATACACAACTTCTTTGTGAAAACCTCAGACCAATGAAAATACTCAATACAATCAAAGCACAGATGGGGCTGAATTTGTTTGGGTCTCAGAATGTCAGAAAGGTGAAGGTTGTGAGATTATAAACAAATTTGTTTTTGTATAGTGCCACCAATGCTGTTTCCAGTGTTGTAACTGTAGTTTATTGGTTATAAGGCTAATTGAAATGTTTATTTGGCAACAACCTGATTAACTGGGATTTGAACTCCAGACCTCTCGCTTCCTTAGCGAGCATGTAATCCCTCGATCACGGTTATAAGATATTAGCCTGAAGAATGCCACATTATTCTAAATTAGGGTTTGTAACCCTTAATAATTTCGATATATTTTGTTCACGGTAAACCTGTTGTTTAACACTGATGTAAATAATCATGGAGCTTAATATAAGCATGTATATCTGTAAAGAATTACACAATATTAGAAATCTTCGACCAATTGGGAACTATTTTTTCTTACCCGTGAAAGCTTGAAAATTAATGCGCATGTCATTTGACAATCTTTACGCATTGATTTTTCGGCGTAGTGTACATATAAAGGGAAGTAACCGCTTCGAGGAGTACCGGATTATTTTCGTTTTTTGCAGATAAGCGTATCAGGGTTATAAATTTCGTTACCATTATTTGTTTGGTCTGACGACCCAAACAAATAGAAATAAAAGGGAGCCATCTGCTGCATCAGTTTTGCATCAGTTTCTTTCATTACGATTGAGAATTTGACATACCGGAAAAAAGGTTCGTTATAGTTTCATATGATAATTTGATTGAACAGTTATTACAAATAATAATTTAATTTTATTATATTCAAATGTACATTACTAAAAATTATTCATTCATTTCTAATAACCTACCTTTTAGTCGGGTAATTTTTACGAAAACCACGAGTTAAAATCTTTGTTTCTCACTTGCGGTGACTTCGAGATTTATACTTGAAATCATTGTAATGGCAGCTTTTTACTTCCTTTAAGAGTAATCCATTCCCAAAATTTTGAAATTTGGTGAAAAAATGTTGGAGTCCACATTAAGATAAGTGCTGAAAAATGAGCGGCGAGTTGCATACCTTTACTTAAAATATAAAATAAATATGTATCTATTTTGTGTGTGCGCGCGCGCGTGTGTGTGTGTGTGTGGCTGTGGGGGGGGGGGGGGCTAGTGACCAACTAACGCGCTGAATACATGTCCTCCCGGGCCCTACTCTTCCGTGTATTAGTATTAACCTTTTATTAAAATTAAATCAATCATAATGGCCGACAACTTAAAATTATTGAAGTGTAGACGAATTTCATAAGCATGAGGTCCATCGATGTTATCATTAAATGACGATACTCAAATTTTGAAGACATTCAAATCTAAATACCATATATCTTTAAAAGACAACATTTTGAATGTATGGTTTTGAATATTTAATGACAAAATGTTGACGTTAAAATGATTTATTTTCATGAGAAAACGTAAGTTTTTGTGACTTAAAAAAACCCAAAAAACACCCAGAAAACAAAAACACCCAACACACGCCGCAATTCATTGGAAAGTGTTATTACTTTGAGTTAAAATTCAAAGTGAATTAAGTGAGAAGTTAAGTGAAGATTGTACCGGGCCAGGCTCCTTTAGATCCATAAGATTGATTTATTCGAACATAGTTGGGATATGTTAAAAATAGATAAATACTTACCGTCTGTCAATTATGTTTTATACCGACATATATATACTAGAACAGCTGTCGTCGCGTTGAACAATTGTCTTCGAATTCGATTGTAGGGTGTGATCATTATTAAAACGTTTTATCTATTCAAACATAGCCAAAAGTGGAAATCATTATTTACGAACTCGAGAATTCATTTGTTGTAGTATATGAAATTCCTCTTTGGAGGTTTCATTTTATTCCACTGGGAAATTAAAACTGATCAACAAATCATTGCTTTTATAGATATTTAAAACACATGTGTCCGTAAACTATGAACATATAGTCAATTGTAATGTTGTTGTCATGCCGTAAATCAACACGTATAACCAACCATAGTGATTTAATAAATAAACAGCCATATATAAATTAGAAATCTTGTCAATGCTCGAACTGTGCTGCGAACAATAAATCATTGTATGAACGATCCAAGATAGAATTATTATTGTTTTTTACATAATTTGTTCACCAAATACAAACACCATTCATTATACACACTAGACAGAAATAATTGTGATGTCATTTTAGAAATGTTTCAAAAAATATTTTTATAAATATTAAAATTTATCACAAACACATAAATTATGCAAC